GCGGTACTATTGGAAAGAGTCACGTAACTATTATAGCCAGTTTGTCCCGAGATTGAGGACAAATGACAAAGCCCAGTGATATCATCTGTAAACAATCCATCAACTATGTTTACGCAAAGATATCAAGTCATTTTGCCTAAGATACTTGATGAATGTGTTTTTTTATGGACCAGTCCCATTTCCTTGCCAAGTTTCAGTATCTTTTGTGCGCTGAGGATGGAGATGGCCGATTTTTAAAAATTTGAATTGTTTTTTTTTAGAATCCGTACGTATCAGCCATATTTTTATCCGCTATCTCGTCCTCCAGCAAACGTATTCTTCTTTCGTGTTGTCGTAGAATTGCCTTGATTTTGTTCAAATCTGCGAGCACTTCCTCCATCGAATTTGGCTGAAATATAGGACATAATTAAATTCCATCGAAACGCACGAGTCGCTTTTTTGTCCTTTGCTAAGACTCTCACCGTTTAGATGCCAATCATCCTTATGAGTTTCACCTCAATTTTGATTTTTCCGTATGCCGCGTTCGGTCTGTATTTACAGCTAAGGGATAAAACACAGACCGTTTCCTAACATGTCCTCTTACATACGATATTTAGACTGACCCTTTATTTCTTATTCTATTATCTTAACATCTCCCCCATGACCGTACAATCTTCGACTGTACATGATTTTGATTAAAAATCAAAAACTTCGGCAATATAAAAAAAAACAATTAAAATTTACGCCGGCTTCCCTACTCCCTACTTTCCCCCTCTCCGTCATTTTTTAATCGAATTCAGAAAAACATCAAAATCTCCATCTCTCTTCACATGTTCGCTTAAGTAACTCATTTCCAGTCAAAATTGGCAGATTTTCGTAATCACTTCCCGAAGAAGCTAAAGCTTGTCTGGAGTCTTGAAGCGCAAGCACATCATTTCCCAGAGATATCCTGGCCGGACTAGTGAGCTGCTCATCCATTCGGGAGAGAAGACAAAAAATAAGATCGCAAGCAGATTGGCCATCAGACGATGTAGCGCTGCTTGAAGCAACCGGAAAAGTTGCCAAAAATGTGGTCGAAGAATGATGCCATGAACCAAGTTGCGGCGGACACACAAACACACACATACAGACAACCCCGTGGCAATATATATTTTGTACTACTGATGCACAGCAAAAAACGCATAAAAACAAGGTGTCAACACGATGTCACTATCTGCTTCGAAAGCCAGAAAACCCGTGCTTACCTCGGATGCGCCGCTTACACTATGCCTTGGTGATGCCGAATTCGAATGCATCATTTGCTGTGGCGGTGCAAGTTGTTCATCTCGATCTGGTTCTCGATCCTTCTCTCTCTTGATGCGTTCCAAGTCAGCCGTTATTCTCCTTTGGCCCGGGGTCATTTGTGCGCCATCTCTGTCCATATGCGATCGCAACTGCACCTAAACATAAAAATATAAACAGTAAGTTAAAATCAAAAAGACTTGATTTATACCTAAAGCGCTAAATGGACGAAAGGCGCTATCCACTGTAGCACCGGCTCTTGTGGCCCAGTCTCAATTTCGCAGTAGTTTTACTATGAATCGCCTTTTCAGAGCAGAATACATCTTTCTTTTTGGGCCGTATATACTTCTTGTGTGGAGTTTTTTTTTGCTGGCTTTCCGCGGGTTTTCCTCAATAGGAAAAATGCCGTTGTAAAAATTACTGAAAGACTGCAAGCTGCATGGACAACTAAAGGTGAGTTACAAAAGAAACGACTGCAGCTCGTCAAAGTACCACACACAAGAACAGTGAGGCCACCGGGGTAGGACGCCGAAATAAATGATCCAGCTGGGAGTTCCCCCATGCCGAGCGTAGATACGCCAGGCTTTTCGGTCTCTATCCTGAGCTGTACACCTCCAGTTGTATCAATGCCGTTCGACGTATGTATGTATGTATGCCATCTCAAAGGACCACTTATCATTCTGTCGCAAAAAAATCAGCCCTGAAGAGCGAAAATTTAAAAAAGAAGCTATTAATAAAGCGAAGCATTTTTTTTTCCGCTTAAAGAAGCTATCAGCAAAGCGAAGCATTTATGCGTAAGTCTGATTTTTCGGTTCCGTCTTTCACATCTGTATGTTTTGCTATGCGATGAATGAAAACTTCAACACCGGCTAACATACATCACACAGGGGAGACTGTTCCAATTTTGTGGTATGATCCCGTCTGAATAACTGCACGGGATTATGTGAATGACAGAGGCCCAAAACAGAAGAGGATGGAGAAGTTGCCAGCTGCATCATTAGCGAGAAGAAACGCGATGATGAAACAGTGCTAATCAAAGAATATGATGTGTGATACTACGGGCTCTTCGAGTTCAATCTTAGTCGAAATTTTAAATTATTTAAAACTGAGGCAAGTAATACCTGTTGGCGAGGGATCATCGGATTTGGACGTTCCGGACTACGCGGTCTCGGTGGACGTTGTTCACGTTCCGGGGCTGCTCCACCGCCGCCACTACCACCGGTACCAGCACGTTCTATCCTCACGATACCGGTATCCTCGTCCACTGGTCCAACAAGCATGCTTTTCGGTCTTGCTGACTGCCGGGATAAAGCGGCCGATTCCTCGCGAGTTACATCCTCATATGAGGAAATTCTTTTCTGTTCAACTTGCTGACGAGGTGCGGCCGACTCCTGGCTGCAGTATTTCTTTAGCTTAGTTCAGAACCAAAAACTATCGGAATTTTTCTTGTGTTAAACCTTTTTTTCTTACAACCCTTAAAAGAAAAAAACAGCTGAAAGACAAGCAGGTTTGTCGTCAAACATCGCCCAATAGTGCTTTATAGGCGTCGTTTGCCTGTACCAACATCGATTGCTGTCAGAGGATTCGAAACCAATGGAGGCGCAGGTTTTCCGTTAAAGTGCCAAAGTTTCTCCCGAGAAATGCCAAATAAGGGCAAATGGTAATAACAATTAGAAAGAGAGGTCAAATTTCTCTCTCTTTCTCTCTTCCCTTTTCGCTTCTCTTTCTTTCTCTCTTCCTTGCTAGTGAAATGCCTAAATACATTACATTAAGCCTTAATGAGATGAATACGAACAGAAATAAGCTGTTACCTGGGTGGAAGCTGAGCAAGAATGTTGGCTTTTTTGGCCACTTGTACTTTTGGCTTAGCGATGGCTGCATCTGGA